TTAGAAACAAAAACACATGCTTAAAGGGCTTGTAATGGGAGTTTTGATTAATCAAAACACAACATTCATTTTTCATGGTGCTCACTTCAAAACCATGGGGCACACAATGTAAGAGACTTTATGATCTCATTCTTTTTACAATGGAAAGATTTCACAACAAACTTCACAATGTGCCAAGAAAGGTATCATTTTGATGCTTGAGCAAAAATTTATTCAAGTTTGAAATAAGGAAAAACACACAGGTACTTTGTACTTAGAAAAATTCTAAGTGTTGAGCTTCAAACTGACCTATAATATTCTTCAAAATTATATGTCCTTCCATTCAAAATTAGCTCTTGATCCTTGAAGATGAAATGAATTAGACCTCTTGAATTGAATTGTGGAATTGATATCACTCAAAAATCATAAAAATTGAAAGAGTTATAGTGTTTGGAAGATGATGAACAAATTTGGGGAAATTCACAAAAGACCTATAATCTTTTCAATTCTTAAACAACTTTTCAAGCATTTTCAAGTCTTGCATATTGGACCAAAGTTGTAGTAGACATCCCAAATATTATTGTGAAAAAATAATGAGCTCAAGGATATAAAAATTGACCAAGTTATGATCATTTGAATTTAAACCCTAATATTCAAAGTCTTTTTAAAGGGACTTGTAATCTTCTTCAAACTTAAATGGTCCTCTATGCCAAATTAGCCTTTGATCCTTGAAGTTAACTTGTTAAGGACTCTTCAAAGAGAACCATGGCTTTGGAATCAATCAAAAATCTCAAAAAAAAAGCAAGATATAGTTCTTAGAAGTCAGTAAACCCTAACTCAGAAAGTGTCAAAATAACTTGAAACCCCTTTCAACTTTTGATGATTTTCCTTGCACAATTGGATATTGTCATGTGAAGAGAAGTTGTTGTAGATGATGATAAGAGTCCATATAAAAAAGAATCAACTCAAAATATTGAAAATTGAGAGAGTTATGCATTTGTGGTCATTGAATCAAGCACTTGCTCAATTAGGTCAAACTTGTTGAATCAACCTTGAATCTTTTGATCTTTCTTTACGAAATAGAGCATGACAGATCACATTAGACCTTGAAATGATTTTATCTTAAAGAACACTCAAAGATGGAGCTTAAGTATCAATAAAAATTGTTGAAGAAGACATAAAAATAAACACACGGACCTATGAATCTTCTTGATGAATGCCACCACCAACCTTGAGGAAAACTTCACCTAAATAAAGTGAGAGAGAGTTCTTTGAACAAAAAACTTTGATATCATAGACATGACCTTAAAGCTTAAGCTCTTGCAATCCATTTAAGAACTATTTAACTGAGGATTATCCCTCAAAATCCTAGGTCAGATGGTGAGATGGATGTAGTTGTGTCATCACCTACAATATGAACATCCAAAGAAACATATATACATATTTTGATGTTAGTTAAAAATTAATCCCCCTAAAAAAACATATGTACAAGATACACAATTCAAGGTGTTTGATGATCCCTCAAGAACAAACTTAAAGATAGAATGAAGTAGAAGGGAGGACAAACCATAATGTGTGATCTTGATGTATTGATAATATGAGATTATGAGAGATCTTTGGGACAAAAATTAGGGGTATAATAGCTATCAAACCCGCAACCATTCCACTTTTAACTATAGTCGGGTATTCTTACTATGGTGAAAAATGGTGCACTATCTAATTTTTTCACTACCACTAGTCTGTGGTGGAAAGTAGCACTTTTTCTATCACATTCTTTGATATCATGAAGTGTCAACTGTGATGATAGATATTTTTTGTAGTGTTATATATGACTTAATTATATACAATGTAAAAACGGGAAAGAAAAAATATAACGTGGAAATGTAATTCTTAACAACAAAATAATAAAATATCAGAAACCCACTAGTAACATCATCATAAGTTAACTACTTGACATATGATTATTGAAACACTAAATTGCGTGACTGGCATATATGTTGTTGTTGCATTGTTCATATGCCAATTAAGCAATCAACTAATTTTTCAAGTGTTGTTGAAACAATGTATCTATGTGGAGCGATAAATTGACAAAGGGACACATTTTCTAAACATGTCCTTCAAAAGCATATAAAATATAGAGGGTTATACGCATACCGATGTAACCAAAACATCAAATCTCAATTTATAAAATTTATTAAATTCATTACAATCACGCATGAAATACACAAAATGCTCTTTACGGTGAATAATATTTAAAACACATTAAAGTTTATGTACGTTAAAGTAACATAATATGGTAATGTATATTTAAGATCCTTTGTTAAAAGAGAAAGAAGTTGTGTGATCACATATTCAAATTAAGAAACAACATACACATCTGTTATAATTGTAACAATAATTGTATTATTAACTAAAATTATATACAAAATCAATAAAGATTACAAAGAAATCGAAACACCTCATCTAGATCAAGGGATATATAATAGGTTCGAAACTTCAATTTGATAATAGTAGAATATATCTATATATAATGACACTAAGGTGTCAAATTTAATATCATGACACCTTCAAAAACTTCTTATAGTGTATACATATAACAAAATTTATTGTTATATTAAAAACTATTATCATATAAATCATACCTATAAAATTTAAAATCAATCCGAAATCATTTAACATATCAATGAGATTAATAAAAATTAACGTCTTATTAAAATTGATCAAAACAACTAATTTTGATTCATTTCTTTAACATAGCAAATGATTTTGATTGATATCAAATTTTATAAACATTGACTATATCATAATAGATTTCAATCTAATGATAAATTTTATAATACATATATGCCGTAAAAAGTTATCAAAAGTGTTATAATATTAAATTTAATATTTTAGTATCATTTGATCCTATATATATATATATATATATATATATATATATATATATATATATATATATATATATATATATATATATATATATATATATATATATATATATATATATATATATATATATATATATATATATATATATATATATATATATATATATATATATATATATATATATATATATATATATATATATATATATATATATATATATATATAATATTACTTTAAGATACATCAATAAAAGAAATAGAAACATAATCAATAAAATAAGTACCATGTGAAACATTTGTAGAGATTGAAAAATAAAAGATAAACGAACCTATATTGCTTTGGGCGTGAATCGAATGGAAGTTAGAGTGTGTTTGGATAAAATATTTTAACGAAGAAAAGTAATTTTTTGACAGAATTTAAAATGACTTGATCAAAATCTATTGTTTAGATAAAAAAATATGGAGAATATATTATTAAAATAATGTAAATTTATGAAGTATTTTATTCAAGTTAAATTTAAGGAATTTCAAATGACACAAAAAATTAAAGAATTTGAAATTGCTCCATAATTTAAATGTTAAATTATTTATTATTAATTTTTCAAAATTTGCAAAATGAACCTTATATTTTATGAAAATTACAAATAAACCCTCATAATTAGGGTTGGAAATGAATCGAGTCGAACTCGCCTAAACTCAGTTCTACTTGTTAAGAATTAGCCTAATTCGAATTCGAATTTGAGTTCATCACGAACTTTTTTTCAGCTCAAACTTGACTCGTTAAGAATTGGTCGAGTCCGAGTTCATCACAAACTTTTTTTAAGCTCAAACTCAACATGTTAGAACAATCTTATTTATCTTTATTGTATTCACAAGAATTATAGACAATATTTCTAGCTTTCATATAATTTAAGTTTTATCTCAAAATAATATTTGTAATTCAAGATATTATCATCAAAAGTAGACAATATGAACAAATAATGAAATATTATAATTTAAGTTTGTAACATATATTTTACTATGTTGAATATGGATTTTTTTTAATCAATAGAATTGTAAATTATTTTATCATATTTCAAATGATATAAATAAATATGAAAACTAAGTATTGATGTCTTCATGAAACTTATATATCGAGTCAGTACATGAACCAAAAGAATCGAACTATACATAACCAAGTTCAACTCATTTATTTTACAAACTTAATTTTGAGCTCAAATTCGACTCATTTGGTTCATGATCCAAGTTCAACGAATTAATTACCGAATGAAATCTCAAATTATTTTTGAGTTACTTCGATTTATTGTCAACCCTACTCATAATTTTCAAAAAATTACACATAAGTTCTAAATAATTTTTAATTTTTACCAATTAATTATTGAAATAATCAAAAATTTCAAATTAGTCGTTATTTTTCATATTTTAAATTTGGCCCAAATTTTTTAAAATTTATAAAAATGATCTAAAAAATTTAACAATAAATTATTTTAATACTCTATCTAAATAAAAAAATTTAAAATTAAACAAATTTCAATTAAATTATTTAAATTATTTAAAATTTTAAATTTTTTAAAAATTCCTTATTATCTCGACCAAATACACTCTTTAATGATGGAAAATTTTCGAACCTTTCAAAGCCTTGGCCGAATAAATACTGAATTTCCCCGAAAAATAATTCTTCTTTATTCTTATGGTGATTCTTAAGCTAACCATTAAATAAAGAAGAAATACCAAACTTTACCATTGGTCGAAAATTCCTCCAAATAGAACAGAAACTTCCAAGTAAGCCCCACCGTCAAGTATAAAGGCGACATTTTAAAACGTTTTCTTTCCACTTGAATTGTCCACGGGCCGTATTTCCTACAGCTCAATTCCACCTTTTACTTTTTTGCTGGATTTCAATTCCAAAACAAAAAGGGTTCGAATAAAATATAGAAGCAACCATTCTCTTTCTCACTCCTTTCTTTCTCCTTTCTCAAAACTTCATATATCTATCCCACAGATCCTCTTATTCTCTTCAATTCAACCATAATATAATTCAGTACCCAATTTCATCACATTTATAATCCTACAAACTTAGAGTTGGAACAATAATCCAAAACAATACAGTATTTCTTTCGACATATAATTAGGATGCCAATGATAATAGAGATAACAATTATATCAGCAGAGAATCTACAAGAGAACAAAAAGGCGATAAAAGGAAACACATTCGTGACGGTTCAATGCGACGGAAGCAACGACGAAGCGAGCAGCACGAAGCTTGATTCGGAAGGCGGGAGTTACCCTACATGGAATGAGAAGTTAGTGATGGAAGTGGCAATGCATGCAAGGTTCGTAACAATAGATGTGAGATACAAAACAAGAGGAAATGGTAGTTGTAGTGCTGGAGTTGCTAGAATACCGGTTTCTGATTTCATTGGAGGTTATGTACATGAAAATCAATTGCAGTTTTTGAGTTATAGGTTGTGGGATAATAGAGTTAGGAGAAATGGTGTTGTAAATATTTCTGTCAAGTTAAAACTGTCACAACCAAATTCTTGTTCTAATTCCATGTCATCTATGGTGAATGGAGTTCCGGTAACTGGTGTTCCGATGGCCGTTAATGGCTCCAACAGAGTTGTAACGGGGATTCCGGCTCTTTGGTTAAACTACCAAAGTAGCCTTTGAAGACTACTTTGTCTTCTCCATGTAATAAGAAAGAGTATACAATACTATACATTTTCATTGACAATACACGTAGGAATTATTCTATACATGTCTCAATTTTTTTAATATTTATTTTATGTTGTTAACTTTACATTAATCATCATTTTTGTTAAATATGTTGGTATATTTATGAACATTTAAAAGTGATAGGAAAAGATAAATATTAAATTTAATTTATAATTTGGTTAATATAATTTATCCGTTGATTGAAGTCATTTGGATCAACGAGCGATATCAGAATTTAACTCATGTTATAAAGAGTATTAGTCTTCGAAAATAGAATGATGAACTTTAAACTTATTTATTAAAAAGATTATTTTGAATCAACCCCAACTGTTTGATGATGAAGAGTATATCATATAGAAAATAAGAATGAATTTTTTAAAAATTATTGTTCTTGATTTGTGGAATTATATTGTATAAATTTTATAAATAATGAAGTGATGAACAAACGGTGAGAATAATTAGTGCGCTAATTATTGAAGAGTACATATATGTTTCTAACGATAGCATTGAGAATAAAGTATGAGACACATTTGAAATGATCGTTGAAGATCCTATCGAGCTAAAAAAATGAATACACTAGACCTAAAATTAGAGATACCAAATAATTATGAAGAAAATCTTTAAACCTAGTTCTCTGATTTTAAAACTCTTGACAACCTTTCAAATATTGTGTTTCTAACAACTACATGAGATAATCAAATATTGAGTATAATCAAATGTAAGTATTGTCTATAATCGTATTTGTATGGGATTGGAGCGATATCAAAACCGTTCAACAATTTTTATTATTCTAAGCATAAGTTTTCGGATTTGTTTGGTTTATAAGTTACGAAAAGTAAATGCGTAAAATAACGAAAGATAAGATTCATAAGAATAGACTTGATGAGAATTGGTTTTCATCAATAGATTCAATATGCAAATCTCAGATCAGTTATACACAATTAGGCATGTTTCAAGGTCATCATGTATCGCACACAAACAAAGTTCATATATAAATTTTGATGAGATTTCTTACCTTATGGTTTAATCGACGATTTCTCAGCCTATTAAACAATACGGTAGAATTACAATTTGATACTTTTAGTGAATATTAAACTTAAATCTATGTCTAGAATTTAGAGTTTAATAGTTGTTATCTTCGATCGAGATTAGAACCTTATTTGTCAATATCAATTTAATCCATGAAATAAGTGGTAAAAAAAAGATAACAATGATAATGATTCAAACATAAATTGCATATAACGCCACGATTAAAGAAAATACATACTATTTCTCGAACTACGACCAATCCCAACAGGATAGGGATTTAGCTACTCATAGAGTTTGAAGCACAATGGAAGATTTGAGTTAAAACAACATCAATGACAATTTCCTGACTCTTGATGTGTATCCAGTCTTTCTACCTAAAACCTCTTTTATTTCTACTTCTATTACAACAATATAATGTATTATAAGATATAAAGTGAATGACTTTTTTGAGCTGAGTTTTTGTCCTATTTATAACAGTCCTTGTCATCTGAGTTCGCTAAGTGAACTACATTTCGCTAAGTGAAGTCTTTACTTCTTTGTTAAGTTTTCAAATCAACTTGTCTTCAGAAAACCTCCAAAACTCGTTAAGAAAAGTGATGCTCACATATCGAAGTTGATTTTTTCAGCCTTAAGAATTTTCAAAATATCTTTCTTTAACCGCCCTTTTCGCTAAGCGAACTGCTTCGCTTCTCCTCTCTGCTGGAGAAACTTGCTGATTTGCTCCTGCCTTCACTTTGCTGGATGTTCTCTAAGCGAACTTTTCGCTGTAACTTTTGCTTCGTGAAGTGTTTGTTTTCTGGTTTTTCTTTAATGACCAAAACCTGCACAGATGATAACAAAACCAAAGTAGACTTGCATAATACCATTGTTATTCATTAGTTGAGGTTTTTATATTAAAAACTTGTCATTTAAGTATGATAAATGGTATGTTTTAATAGGACATTTTAACATGAATTAAGCATTTATCAAACTCTCCCCAACTTGAATCTTTGTTTGTCCTCAATCAAAGTAAAACAAAAACAAGAGTTCCTATACCAACTTCCATGTGATCAACATGGCCAATTTTCAATGAAGTAGTCAAGACACATGGTTTTTGAAGTTGCACATCCAAGTGTTAATGCATTATTACTTTCTTTAGTATTTAGACATATTCATAAAATAATTCTTCCACATAAAATTCATGTCAAGAAATCCAAAGTAATAAAAATGTTAACCATGAATCACACCTATCACACTTTTTTTGTATAAGTGAAAATGATGAGGTATTTTGATCTCTCACATGACAAACTTGCTAACATCTTGATTAGTTCATGCATTCATCTAAGCAAAATATATTGATATGCAAAGACAAGGATCGCTAAGGACTTTTATGGTTGTAACGTGTCCAAGGTACCAAAGAAGTGTTATTCCTATGTCTAATGGAAACACATTGGTTCTTGGATTTTCTTTATTTAAAGTGAATTCATAGGTTTTGATTCTTTTTGTATCATATCATTCATTCAAACTGTAAGTGTTTAGTTATTGGCATGTATTTTTGGTAAAACCAGATGTGTGAATGTCATGACTGATGTCATAACATTCTGGGTTATTAGGTACTTTATGCAGAAAAAGAATGGCATACAGTAGCTGCTATTTATGAGTGTGTATCTGAGCATCTTGTAATGATCACATTTATTACTTTCTACCAAAATCAGTAAATAGGATTTCTGTTGTCATAACCAATGTTAAGACATCCTGTACTGATCTAACAGTTATGCAGTTTGGTTAATTCTGAGATTTTTCAGGAATTTGGTTCATACCTTCCAGAACAGAATCTCACGTGGACTTTAGGTTAACCTAGCTCAACCCTAATCTGGTTGATAAAGTCTTGTGACCAAGTCTTGAGGTTAACCCTAGCTTTTCATGGAAGCCCTAACTGAAGAAACAGCTGCATATATATTCAACAGGAAAGTTGTTGGAAGATCAACTCTTTGACAGAAGATCAACTAGGGGCTGTATAGTTTTAACTACTGTAATCCAAGCAAGCATCATTGTGATAAGTGACTTGGAGTAGGTTTTGATTGTAAGGGTTGTGTATCACTCAAAGCTTTGAAGCAAGAGTGTTTGTGTCACTTGACTAAAGCTTTGAAGCAAGGTCAAGTTAGGTTTATGTATCACTCAAAGCTTTGAAGCACGAGTGTTTGTGTTAATTGATTAAAAGCTGTGAAGCATAATCAAGTGTATGTTCTGAAGAGTGTCTTCATTATTTCATTAGTAAATTGTTTAGTATCACTGCTGTGATTGAGGGGGAGTGAGTAGGAACTCAGGTTTAAGTTGAACTTAAATTGAAGTTGCATTGGGTAGGTCTTAAGTGAAGGAGATAAACTGGTTGGTTTATTCCTGAATTAATATCTCTTATAGTGGATTTCCTCCCTGGCTTGGTATCCCCCAGAGTAGGTGTTGTTTCACACTGAACTGGGTAAAAAATTGACTGTGTTCTTTACTATTTTTTTATTTACTGTCTTATAGAAAGTCAGATACGGTGTCATAACATTCACTGTGACATTGAGTATATGTTGCCAGAATTTCACAAACCTTTCTTATTTCTTTCTTTTGAACACATTAATTTTGAGTAATCATTGTCTTTTCTTTTCTCACTTTTCTCTTTCTTTCATTTTTCTTTTTTATACTTTACAACTTTCTACTTTCCTTTCTTTTGAACAAGTACTTTTTTCTTTTATTCCCCAACTTTGAACAAGACATTCTTTTCTTTGAATCCTCTTTCAGTTTTGACAAAAGATATCAATGGTTTCAAGGTTTAATTAAAAAAAATAGAATCTATCATATATGAACCTTTTATGGTTTTTAAAGAAATAGAACAATATTCACTAAGTGGTTTACTTAATGAATTATTCAGGTTGTTATACCCTAATTTTTGCCCCTAAGATCTATCATTATATCATTTTATCAATACATCAAGATCACACATTAGGGTTGATTCTCTCTTTCTACTTAATCTTATCTTTAAGTTTGATCTTGAGGGATCACCAAGCACCTTGAATTGTGTATCTTGTACATGTATTTTTAGATGGATTAACTAACATCAAAATATGTATATATATGTTTCTTTTAATGTTCATATTGTAGGTGATGACACAATTTCATCCATCTCACCATCTAACCTAGAGTTTGAGGATTGATCCTAAATCAAATGGTTCTTCAATGGATCGAAAGAGCTCAAGCTTCAAGGCTATTTCTAAGATGTCAAAGTTTTTGGTTCAAAGAGCTCTCTCACTTTATTCAAGTCATGTTTTCCTAAAGATTGGTCGTGGTATTCATCAAGAAGATTCATAGGTTCATGTGCCTTCTTCAATAAGTTTCATTGAGACTTAATATCCATTTTTGAGTGTGCTTCAAGATAACATCATTTAAAGGGATAAGTTGATTCATCATGCTCTATTTTGCATAGAAAGTTTAAAAGATTCAAGGTGGGCTCAACAAGTTTGACCTAATTTAGCAAGGGCTTGATTCAGTGATCACAAGTGCATAACTCTCTCAATTTTTAATATTTTGAATGGGTTATTTTTTATATGGATTATTATCATCATCTATAATAACTTATCTTCACTTGACAAGATCCAATTGTGTAATAAAAATCATCAAAAGTTGAAAGGGGTTTCAAGTCATTTTGACACTCTCTGAGCTAGGGTTTATTGACCTCCAAGGACCATATCTTGTTCATTTTTTGAGATTTTTGATTGATTCCAAAGCCATGGTTCTCTTTAAAGAGTCCTTAATAAGTTATCTTCAAGGGTCAAAGGCTAATTTTGAATGAAAGATCACTAATGGTTGAGAAAGATTACAAGTCCTTTGGGAAAGCTATCAAATTCTCTTGTGTGACTTCAAAGGATCATAACTTGGTCAATTTTTATCCCCTTGAACTAATT